GAAAAAACAAATTTTGTTTCAATATGAGTGCATGATAACCAACAAATATAACCACTTTATATCCCAAACTCAAATTTTAAATATAAAAATATATGTATCGTCACCTAAAATACAAAACAATGTATAATCAAAAAAAAAAAAAAAAAAAAAAAAGAAATAATCAAAAAAAAAAAAAAAAATGGAAATCGTTGACAGATATAATAACTAAAATTTAACCATAGTATAACGAAAACTCAAATTTTCTTTAACCATTTTGTAACAAAAACTCAATAAGGTAAGTACACATACATATGCATATTTTGTTGTTGTGCTTGTTTTTCAATGTACTTTTCAGTATCAGTAATGAATGAATAATTTTTTGTAATTTTCACAATGCACTTATTAAAGACAGTTAAGGAATGAACATAGTATTTTCCCTACATTTAAAAGCACAATTGCATTGGCAACACTGGCTGGAGATAACATTACAATAAACAAAAAATGCCGGTATATTGACATTCAGCTGAAAATCATGTCACGCGGCAAATGATATCAGGGTCATATTTTCCAAGTTAGTTTAAGCAAATTTCTACCTAACAGCAAGTATATTTTAGTTCTTACACCATTTTCTAAGCTAAATAAATCACACAGCATTACAAATTAGCTAACAAAACACGCTTAAATGCCAATTAAAACACCTCGTCTTGCTGGTATCTTACCCGCTATCTATAAATATCGCCCACAGCAGAATCAAAGATAAATGTCAGAATAGCGACGTTGCGCCACTTTCGCATGTGACGCTTTCGTTTCCTTTTCAATTACTTTTTCTCTCAAATTCTAGCTCTCTCCTTTTATTTTATTTTTAGTTTCTTTTTTTTGATTTGCCTCTCTCTTTCAACTCTATGTTCTTCATTGAATTTCTTGCACAAACACTAAAAATGGATAACAAAAAATGGGTGGAATTCCAATTTCACATTTTTCACAACTCAATCTAGCTTGCCGCAAGGGCACAAGGGTGCGGCAAGTGGTTATTGGGAAAAATTGCCATTTCCACATTCCTTTGCCGTATCCGATGACTAATCACTTGAAGGATATTTTAATGATACATATTGTAACTTACACTTTAAGTAATCAACACACAACGGATATAAAGCTGACAATTGCTCCGATTGAATTAATAGGATGCACACAAATTATTGTTGGCGTTTGTTGTCGCGGGCGGGGCGATGGTAGTTGTTAACTGACAACGGTCGTTACTTTTTGCCTTTATGGGTACACTAGAAACGCTCACGAAAAGTGAATGAAAACTGTCAATGACCGAAATTAAACCGCAGAAATTGAAAAAATAACGCGCGCACTAAGTGCTAGTTAGTGTTGTACCGATCCTCACAGTGGCTAAAATTCAACTCGAAACAAATTGGCCGCAACTAGCTTATTTTAAATTGATGTTAAATGTAGGCAGCGCGACCAAATACTCCGCTCACTTTACACGCACACGAGCACACACCAACTTATTGACAGCTGTCAATAAAGGCAGCAGAGGTTGCCATAAAGTGCACACACACAACAAAAATAACTTAGTTCGGCAGACAAATGTAACTAAAACGCAATGTGTGGGCATTTGCAGATAGTTTAAAAATTAAAGAAAGGTTTGCGTAAAAATTTTTTTATGAAAGCGAACAAATGCTTTAAACTCCTTCGCATTCAAAAAACAATTTTTTTCTTAAATAATACGGAAATCATTCACAATTTTATTATTTCAAAGATTTGAAAATATTTTGACCGAATACAACTCTGCCGTTTACATTCAATCACGCACAATTATGTGGTTTCTATCTTGACTAAATGAAAGCGCAGAACGTATATCAGAGAACGTAAGTTTTAATCGAAGAACGTATATGATAAACGATCTCTGCGATAGACGTTCTCTGGCTGTTATTTACGTTCTCTAGTTTACGTTCTCTGTCAATTCCAATTTAATCCATAAGCTTCCAAATATTTATTAGTGGTGAAACCGAAAATAATAGCGATATTTAATTAGTAATAGCTTTAAACTATTTATTTATTTACTTATATGTGCAGTTGGCGCTTATTAATCATTTTTTACATTATATGATGGCTTATAAAATTACATATAGATTAATGCTTTTTATTACATGCAAATAGTGAAATAAACAGTATTTTTTGCACACCGGCAACTCTGTCCTAACTGTATAGCTCAGTTTCCGCCGACATTTCAAGCGTCGCATTTTAATTTTCGTTTCGCGTGTTTAAAATTGTGAATTTAAAATCACAAATCAAGGAAGCTAACGCGTTCAGTTAAAAGTTCTGGAGTATGGGTTGGTTTTAGTTGAAAATTAGTGGTATAAACGTGTTCTCATGTTTTAAAATCAGTGTTTTAAATTTATATGTGAACGTGTGTTTAGGTGTAACTTCACAAATATGTGGATGCCACCTCAAAGGTACAGCGCCAGGACTGCACGGCCACCTTGGCCTATCAGAAATCACAAAAGTTCACCTGGCCCCAGCATATTAATAAAGTTGAATGTACTCCTAGGTGTTAGCGAAGCAATGTGATCCCTATTTGGATTCCCGGTTATACCTTTGCAGTCGGGCACCCACATGAGGTGCATTTGGTTACGTTCCGCTAGCCCATTCAGTCGTTTCCTACATTCCTGCACCAGTAGTGATTTCATCTTACAGGCAGATATTGCTTTAAGTGTCAATTGACTATCGCTAAGTATGGTTATACGTTAGTTGCGATAGTTACGTTGGAGGTTTATTTCTATGCACCGACTTATGGTAAAGACTTCTGCCTGAAAAATACTCGGAAAATTTCCCTTAGGGACGGGCACCAATTCCCTCCGACTTTTCGAGAAACCGGTCGATGTACCTTTTGATTGTACTCGATAGTGAAATCATGAAATTCAGCCTTGCTGCTAAGGGTAACCTTGAACTTCTTGGTGAAGCTTACCCTTCTGGTAATGCTGCCCCTTGGGAGAAAGGCCAATGTCATTACACAACTTAAGTCCTTCATCCGCTGGGACAAGATCATCGGCTTAGCGACCAAGATTATTGGCTCGCATATAAGCGCAAATGCCGGGTAATTATGTTCATTTATTGCTCACTTCAAAGTGATGAGTTATTGCCATTAGCGTGAACCATTAATGGCTTCACACGGTTTCGGAAACTCATGCCTTTCTGATACTAGCAACTACAACTTCAGGTCATGAATATTACTTCGGCGTTGACCTTGCTTTGGATGGTTAGCGAAGCTTCCCATGTAATTTTCAATCTGCGATTTAGTTTTATTTTCTTAATGTACAAGTCTTTAAGAATACACACAGAAAATTTCATATCGTTCTGGTGAATACTTTCGAAGTAATTAAAATTCAAATTTAAATGAATGGTTGGAAGTACATTCAAAACTTTAAACGCGTTTTTCTCAAAATAGTTTTTTCACAGTCGGTTGGTCATGTTGGTCACATTACCCGAAAACGTCTCAAATTTTAAGACAGAATAACCGAAAATTTTTTCTCACCGATAAATATTTTTTTTATTGGTCCAAGATGGCTTTTTTTTTAGAAACCGCCATTTTGTAAAAAGTTTTTTTTTTTTTGCTTATTCCTTTTATTTGCTTTCCTAAATATAACATTACTTTAACGAATCTGTTTGTGGTTTTTAGTTACAGAGGATCCAGTTCAGAGATATAGTGATCACCGCAGAACGCCTTTTTTGAGAGGAGCGCCCGGAGATCAACAGTAGTTCTTTCCGCACAAATATTTTTTCTAATACTAAGACTTAAAATGCAGTTGAAAGATATTATAATATGTGTGCACATTTTTGGATCAATAAGTTTAACAGTTTTTTCAGAAAAAAATCTGGAAAATGCGCTTTGTTCGACCTTTTAACTGCATATACGCCCAGGTCATAAATATTCAGCTTTGCCATTGCTTTGGTTGGTTTGCCAGGTTTCACAAATGTTTTTTTGTGTTGTAGAGTTGTCGCAACAGATTTTCATCACCAATCAAAATCCGATTACACAATTTGTCCATTTATTTTCCATTCAAAATCGAATAGTCCTTTATAAAAGTGACTTTCTGCCAATTGATCACTTAAAATAAAATAAAACACATGCGCTTGCACGTAATCTTCTCATCATAAAAAATATTAAATACGTTTTATTCACTTGCAAATTTTTGTATACATACATACATATATTTTACTGCTGTTAGTTGTCATTTCTTTTAATTGCATTTACATATCTATACGTTTGCTTATGCAACTACTTTCATACGAAACTAATAGCTTAAAGGCTATTCTATTCTATAAAGTAAACTAAAACAAAAGCATAAATCAATGAACCGCATAAAATACAAGTACACCAATATTAGAAAAACACCAGCAAAGCTTTACAATACAACAACAAAACACAGAATACAATGCAACTAGTTGTGTGCGCTTAAATAAAATAAAGTTTGGCTTTAAGTACAAAAGAATCACAAAAATGTATTGCAATAAAGCATAAGCAAAAACAAATGAAAACAATAACAAGGGAGAGGCAATGTGTTAACAGTTATAGAGTGAGAGTGACTAAAAATATGCCAGCAAATAAAGAAATAATTGGAATTCTAGAATTTTTGAAACAATTAGTTTGTGCTAGACCAAAAAATTTTAGAAAATAGTAAAATACAATTTTTCGAAAATAAATTAGGAAACAGCTTTCAAAGTAAATTAGAAGCATTTTTCAAAAAGTAAATTGGAAACATTTTACGAAGTAGATTGGAGTGCGGAGAGCTAGATGGTTTTGGAAAATATCATAAATGCGTATTTAATTATTTAAATACATACAAAATGACATTCGTTTAAACGCTAGTAACTTAAAAACATAGATTTAAAAATATGCATGCGTGTATTTTTCAACTAAATAACTTCCACTTTAAAATACTTTAATGCATTGGACAAAAGAGCACAGCTCAAGCCGCTGCTTGCCTTCCCAACTATTGTAACTATATGTTTGTATATGTGTACACAATTTTGAATATTTTCTTCATGCATTTACTTGCTTTTAATAATATAATTATTAAAATACATACATACAAATAACTACAAAAGCCTTAAGAACGAATAACTTAAAGCTACATTTCTATTACTTTTAGGTTTGCATTAATATTTTTGCTCTCTTTCTTTTAAATTAATAGGTAAAATTACGGTTATAAATTAATTATGCGCTGTGGCGTAGATCCGCTGTCTCGTTGTTGCTGTTGTTGTGTCACTGGGCAGTTGCGACGCCAACGTGGACTTGTAGTAGCCGTCAAATTTGTTATTGTCCTCCACTTTCAGATTGCCATTGATCTCTGTGGGCAGTTCACCATTTGACTTGACAGCGCCATTTGCATAGCCGTTGCTCAGCTTGCCATTGGCAGCGATTTTCTCCTTCTACAAAACGAAAGTAAGATGGAGAATTAAAATTTATGCTTTCGCAATATTTTATTTGCTTTGCTTGTTTACAGCCAGCACTCACCTTCTGCTCGCGCTTGAGATAGGCCTGTTTGTAGAAGTCCGAGAAGAGGAAATAGAACATGGCCGCATGTGCGCCAATAAAGTATGCAAAACCAATGGGATAATTGCAATCGTTGCGGAAGAACAATTGGAATGAGTGCACCATAACCAAAACGAATTGTATCATCTGCAAGACAGTCAGATATTTCTTCCACCACAAGTACTTTTGCACTTTGGGTCCCATCGCCGCCAACATGTAATACGTGTACATGATGATGTGCACGAAGGTGTTGAGGAAGCCGAAGAACGACGAATGGCCGCCGGGTGTGAACTTGACGCCCCACCAAACCGAGCAGGGCATAATGCCGTGATGGATCACGTGCAGCGTCGAGACTTGATCGTAGCGTTTGCGCATCACAAAGAAGAATGTGTCGAAGAATTCGGTGAATTTGGAGATGTAGTACCACCAACAGCCCCGTGCGACCTGAGTAGAGCAAAAAGGTGTGTAATAATGTTATTAGTATAATTTTTGGTATATTTTTATTAAACTTAAATTTAAAATTTTGGTTAAAAGGTGTTGTGGAAATAATTTTGGATTTTGGCAAATGAAAAAAAAAAACAGAATTTTAGTTAAAAGGTGTTGTATAGGTGTTGTAGTTTAAGACGACGGTAAGTGAAAAAAAATATATATTTTTAATTAATTTTAAAATTATATTAATTTTTTATTTTTTTCAAATTTTAATAAATGTTTAGATATTTATTTTTAGGTTATAATGCTTGTTTAACACTAGTCAAACGTAAGATATGCAAGTCAACAGCCAAATTTGACTGAAGAGTCGTCAGAACCCCCGGATAAAGCTGTGTGACTCGTTATTTATAAATATTTCATTTAAATTCTTTGCCTAGAAAGTCAAGTGTTTGTCTAGATTACACTAAAATATACCTAAACTCTGACTCAAATTTGAGTTAACTTTATGCTAATAATTTCCACGAATTCTTGTCTTACTGTTTACCCAATATTAATTATAATGTTTGCCAGAATCATTCGACTGTCAATTTGAAAATTAATTTATGCGCATTGATTACACTCAAGAGGCTTTGGAATACGTGTCATCGAATAACTTTCGCAATTTTTGTCTACTTTTGCTCTATGTTTTAAGTTTTACTACTATTTTTCCAAACTATATGTATATACTTTTTTTCAAACCACCATTCTATGTAAACACACGGGCGTTTTAAGTGGTCAGTTCTGTAATTCGGAGTCGTACACACCTCATAATTCTGCAAATAATTCAAATCCATTTTACTCTACCGATTTAAAGTCACATGCCAATTTATATTCGCCTTTACAGACAGCTTGTCGCTGGTGCGCAGTCATCAGACTCTAAAAGCATTTGAGAAAGTTGGTTAGAATTGTTGTTCATAAAGAGTTGGCAAGCAAGTTTCTGGTTGCTGGCCGAAAATTTAAATTTAGCTGCTTCAGCTGCTGGCGCGTCATAAATTAGCTACTATTTACTATTTTCGCGTATATTTAGTTAGGTGTATAACCTCAGATTTTTCAATATAATTTTTATTATATATTTTAAGTCATAAAAGATTTAGAGACGTCATGTACTTATAAATGAAGAATTGAAGAAGTTTTACATTACACTTCTTTCGCACAGCCACAATTTTTTTATTTCCTTGAAGTTGGCACTCTTTTTTCTATAATTTCACATTTTTCTAATTTGGCATAGTTTCGAAGACACACGGAGCCACATCTGGCGAATGTGGTGACTCAGGAATGACTCCATTTTTCTTCTTATTCTTCACTACAACCTTTAGTCGGTCTGAGCTGAGGATACAAAACGTCATCAGTTGCTTTTATTCCTTGTTTTGTCACGTCTGTGACATTCCAAGTGCAGTCAGGTCGCTAAGCACTTGGCCTTCCAAAGCGTGAGCCAGTTGCTTCCGTTGTCCACCTATGAGTTTCGTGTCGCAAAAGCTTTTTGCTAAAGCGTCATCTTAAAGCGTCTTGTCGTGATTCTATCTTCTTCAATCTTCTCATCGCTCACGCATACAGTGCCAAAGATCTGGGGTGAGATTTGCGATATAGACCGAGAGATGCGGTAATCGGCTTACCTAAGTGCTCAACAATGTTGCACCGCCTGTCCACGCTGGATTGTTGGAGGTTCGTTGTTCTTTACAAAAATACGTCTCGTCATTAGTTTGATGCTGGACGTAATACCTCGTTTTTGCAAAAGAATCAGGTCGTTTCGTACCATTTTAGCATTAACTCGTTTCGTACATAAAACATTAACCAAAAATTGTTGAAAGTGTCGGTCCATAAGAATAGTTAGATCCCCTGTTGTACATTTTCTAGCTGGGTTGTAATAAAAAATAAAAACCCGATTCGGTTTGTGCGCATGGTTTATATAGACCAGTCCGAGTGAAAACATTTAACATTTCAAAAACTCACCTTATCAAGATACCAAGTTTACACCGTATTTACAGAATGTTTTTTGCTTCTTTTCTCTAACCCTTTTTGTTATAAGAAAGGTGGGTGGAGTGGAAATGAGGGACAATACCTGCCGAGTTCGGAGTTATTTGGGAATTCCGGTGCTTTGAAACAATATTTTGCGTACTTTTCTGCTGGAACAATTCACGAAATCATTTCTGGGCCTCTCTCTATCTCTACGACCCTGGCTACATTCAATAACTTCAAGCTAATGGCAAGATAAGACAATAAAAGGAATGATGGGCGACTTCATCATTTTGCTATCGATATATGCAACCCTAGGTCTACCTCACTCAGTTGTAGGTGTTATAAATAACAGTTGAAAAAAATAAAACTATTATACTCTCTGCAAAATTAGTTTTGACTATGAAAACATTCAAGCATTTTATTGTCCCACAATTAAGAAATTTCCAAAACAAAATAAAATTTACAACAAAAACAAAAATAACATTAATGTAAAAGTAAATTTTTGTTAATATTTTTTTTTTTTGGAATATTTTGCAATCACTCCACCATTAAAGGCCATTATTTAATTAAAATTTTTACAAACATTTATAGCAACCTCACATAATTAACAAAAATATTAAAAAAATAAATTCTTTAAAGAGCGCTTGCAAGATGCCTAAGTATTTTCTTGTTCGCCGAAAATTTTTTCCACTAAAAAATTTAATTAATATTTTTATCGTCGACATACCCTTAACGCGCGTGGCGAATTCGAATAGTCCACAGGCTCGCATCTGATATTATAGCCATTTAGCCAGCCGCCAATGCAGGACTGTGGAGTGAAAATGAGGAAAACATTAAAAAAAAAAAATCATCAATTTAATGTGCATATACATTTATTGGATATTTACCTCGTAGAATAGCCAAGCGCTGAACAGCACTTGCGCGAAATTGTAAACGATTAAGACTTTGCGCAACTCAAAAGGTTTTCTGTTTTCCATCAATTTGGGGCCCAGCACCTGTCGAGCGATAAACATGCAAAGAAAGAGACATTCAATGATATGACAAATAAGTCAAAAGTAATAAATAAAAATAAAATAAAATAAAATAAATAAATTTAAACTAAAAGCTGAGCATAGCAAACATAGAAAATCAAAGGCAGCAAAATCGCAATAAAAACTCATGAATATGAGCATATAAAAAGCGCTTGATTTAACGCTTATTGCAAAATTATCATTAAGTGCATGTATATGTATGCATTCGTAACTATGTGTGTGTGTGTGTATGGCGACATGCATAAATTTCAAGCTTCAGTCATTCCTTTCTGCACAAATTGAGCACAGAGGCTGTCGTTAAATGTGCCAATGCATTAAATTTAAACAAACAAAAAGATCAAAATATACAACAACAACAACAACAACCACAAACAAACGCATAAGAGCGATAACAATAGTTAAGGTGGCGCGTGAAAACGTTAAAATTTGGACAAAAGCAACACAAAGCACACACACAAATATATACATATGTTTCAAAGTTAAAGAGTAGATGACAGCAATCATTGCCCAGCTTTGATTTCGTGATTGCACACATACATACACATACAAGGGTGCTCATAAATAAAGGTGCTCAGCATCATAAAATAAATATGCAAAAGACGTTTTTTTCCACAAATCATTTGCAGCAACAACATAACAATCACTGTTATAATGAAGTTAACATTAATGTCAGTCAACAGAGGTGGCAATCATGTGACCAAACATTGCAGTCTTTTGTAATGAAATCAAATTGGAGCTGAAACCCATGATGTGGAGCTCAAACGAAGCCTAGAAAATGGCGAATTATAAAAGAAAACAAAAGAGGTGAAAATAATGTATGTGCAAATAGACGTTAATAATAATAATTTGCACACCATGCAATTAACAAAATCAACTTTGCAAATTTACACGGGTGTGAATTCGTTTTGATGCATGGCGGGACAATGTGAGCCACAGTGGGTCGGAGTTGACAAAAATTGAGGAAAAAAAATTTATTATACATATTTATTATACATAAATTTTTTTTTTTTTGATGAGATGGCGTGCAGTGATTTTGATACGAAAATGATTTTAAAAAAATTTTGGAATTTTGAAAAATGTTTGAAAAAAAGTTTTATGCGGTTATACCTAAAAAAATGTTGCATAAATAGTGAACTTGAAATATTTTTAAAAAAATTTTGGAATTTTGAAAAATGTTAAAAAAAAACGTTGAATAAACTAGCAATAATTTTTGGTGCGATCAGTAAATATAATCTCAAAAAGTGTTGCTTATGCTTTGACCAGAGTAATTTACATTCAATGAACTTTCAACAAATATATTTATGTATGTACATATATACATATGTATCTCAATTAATTGAACAAATAAGAATAAATAAAAAACGTTCAAACGATGCTTAAAATTCAATGCAGTTCCAAAAAGTGTATTTTGTCTCAATTATTTAAATTTAAAAATAAAAAAATAAAAAGAACAACAAAATTTTTAAAAGTTGCTTTAAATTT